CCATCCATCCATCCAGTCATCCGATCATCCATCCATCCATCCATCCAGTCATCCGATCATCCATCCATCCATCCATCCATCCATCCGATCATCCACCCATCCATCCAGTTTTGGTTTCTTGTGCTATCTTTTCACTGTCAGCTAATGTCTCAGTGACACTAGAGTAAAAATAGGTTGCCGGCTTCCTTACCACCAGGGGAAACTGGTGGTTGCTCAGTGATTGCATTGAATGTTTGGTGACCAACTGGCGACATTCTAGTTGCCCGACGGTAATATCTTCCCCTGTGAGAGGCAACCTGTCTCCCATCACAGTCTGACTCAGACTGACTGCAATCACTCTGAGACCGATTGGTAAAGGTTTAAAATAATCAGTTTGATTTATAATCACACACAGATTACCAACACTCCAATCAATCACTCGCATCAGTCTGAATGAGCCTGCGCTGATGAGCTCCAGGTTAAAAGCAGAGCTTTGGTGCTTTTAAAAAGCACAAATGATGACGATACCAGAGAATGTGTGTGATAGTTACTCTGATCTCAGGGGTACATCTGGCTTTCTCTTCTGTTTTTTAGGGAGTCCGATTCGGAGAGCTCAGGTTCGGGAGCTGCTGATGTGTCTGTGCTGGGTTGCGGTTCAGTGGCAGGGGACAGCGACTGGGACTCGGACCTGTCCGACTCCGATCCCAGCCGCTCGTCAAGGACCTCCGCCACCGGGAGCAAATCTGGCCGTCCGAAGCGGCTGCCCGCTGAACCCGACTGGGACTTATTCGGAGAAACCACTGAACCCGAAGTGCTGAGCGAGCTCTTCACGGAGCAAGACAGGAACAACAACGGCATAGCAGAGAGAGTTTCCGGAGTTACCACCAGCATGGCAGCAACACCGTCCGTCCCCATGGCAACTCAACCCACCACTCCACCGTTGAAGAGGATGTCGACCGTGGAGCAGTCATTGACGAAGAAGGTGACGTGGCAGTTTAAACCTGCTCAGAGGTCGGTGTGCACAGGAAGCAAGAAGGACAAAGAGAGGGAGGCGACGTCGTCATTGGCGGGAAGGTTTACTGAACTCGAAGGTGGCGAGATGTACAGACCCACCCCTTCATCTTCGTCATCTTCGTCGTCGTCACCGTCGTCATCGTCATCTGGCTGAATTCTGAAAGAAAAGCTTGTTTGGAGAAGCTTTTGATGGGCTGAAGAAAGGTAGAGACGACCTTTAGCTCCTGTAGACCTGCAGCTTTTGCCTGTCCGTTACGAATTCTGTGTCTCGCTGCTGCCGTTGCCTTGGATGACCTTTTCTTCAGTTAGTCAACAAGTTATTGTTATTATCATATATCACTTTAAGTTGGGACGGTTTTCACAGAAACAGCACCGTTCCTGTACAGTTTTACTGACTGTCGGTTGTTTTTTTCACTCCCACGTTCACGTTACATTCACGTCTGTTAAAATAACAGAGCCGAATAATTCTGTTGGAGTTTTAT